ACTTTTTATCTGAACTATTAGCAATACAGAATAATCTTCAATACTGTTCATTCTGTGACATGATTAACTGCTTCCTAGTGAATTACTAAAACGGTAACATTTCTACTTCTTTTCATTGTATTTTAAAGAGGGTATGGCCTTTGAAAAGTTATCTATTATGTATGAGGAAATACAATACTGTAATTAATGTTTTTTCACTGTTTATTATAGCTATGTTGTGGAATGCAGAAAGAGAAATTATGAAACATGAAAACTGATCTGAAAGCGGGCAAGTGGGCAGAGGGAAGGTGAAAACCTTTGCAAACCCTCCAAACTTGTCCTTGCTGGGGAAGCACTGTAATAAAATGAGAGAAAATTACTTGTAAACAATGACTGTCAAACTATGACATACGTTTCAGTAGAGAACTTATGTACTGCACACTATGAATAACAAAACAAGATGAAAACTGTATGGTGCTGCAATTTTAAAGGTATTCTAAGTAGCAAGTTTTAGTATACAATAAATTGATAGAGTTTATATTATTCATATATATTTAAATACTACTGTGAGGTGTACAACCATGTCAGTTTCTTGGTGCTCTTTCTAAGTAACTTAAAAATAATACTAGAAGGAAAAATAAAGACTACATGCAACTATACAAACAGGAGCAAAACCATCAGTGAAATTTTACATACCTTAAAAAGAAACAGTAGCCAAGAATAAAAGGAAGTTGTTATTGGATGACTTTTGCACTTTACCTCAAATTGCAACTGTTTTTCAAATATCAACTCACTCCTTACCAAGCCAAACTATAAAAATCAATACAAAAATTCCTATATTTTCCAAAAGGAAATAGGAATGCAGTAAGAATTATCTTAATTCTCAAACATAATTAGATAAAACAGAATTAACTCTAAGAAATTTAGAACCTCATAATCTTTAACCAGACTGACACAAAGCTATTGTATAAATTCCATTTCAAAATTATAAATACTAACATATCTGACTTTTCCTCAGAGGAGACTGCCACTAGCTTAAAATACTATTTCTCATAAATTAATCTTCCAATTAACCCACTTCCCCAAAAATAGTATATACAGGAATAACTGAAAGACACATAACTAAGAATTTGTACCAATGGAAATAGCTACATATTAGCAATTCCTTGTATCAATGATAAAATGAAAACCAAGTTTCATGCAGCCCAAGTGTTCAGGCCTGGTGCACTGGGAAGACCCAGAGGGATTGGGTGGAGAGGGAGGTGGGAGGGGGGACCGGGATGGAGAATACATGTAAATCCATGGCTAATTCATTTCAATGTATGACAAAAACCACTGCAATGATGTAAAGTAATTAGCCTCCAACTAATAAAAATAAATGGAAAAAATTAAAAAAAATTAAAAAAAAAAAAGAAAACCAAGTTTCAAGAACATGCCTGAGGTAGGACAGAATATTTAAAGTGATTCCAAATTCTTTTTAAATATTTTATTATGTCTCATCTTTCATATTGTAATTATTTTAAAATTCAGTTATCCATTCTAACAATATAAGTGAAAAAACTAAGAAAATAGACTACCATGCCCATTCCCAGTGATCACAAATTTTACTGTGTAAGAATTTAATCCACTAGCTAAAGATATATCTGTATATAAATAGCTCTTCCTTACTGCACAGAAAACAAAAAGAATGGAGTTTCATTTCAGTGGAAAAGTAAGTGGTTATATAGTACTTCCTTGGAATTAATTTACCTTTTTCCACACTACTCAGTGAGCCACATTTAAACAAACTACACTGGGAGATAGTAGGCAATAAAGATTAAGAATACAGACCCTGACTGACTAAATTTCAATCTTCATCACGTAACTATCCATGGGATGATCCATACTTGAATATATTACGACACGTCTCCTAATCCCAATTTTTTCATGTGTAAATGGGGAAATTAGTATTGACCTAATAGCTATAATTATAATTACCTAAGTAAAAGTTTCGTGTGAATAGCAACCACTGAATAGTCTTGATCATGGTAAATAGAATTAGAAATAATGACTAACATTCTTTCCTCCAGTCATTCATTCTTTATTTACCCCAAGTCTAAACATAACCAAATTTGCTTTACTCATAGAAAACGAGTAGCCTAGCAGTTAAGAACATGAGTTATAAGATAGGCTGTCCATGTTCAAATCCTGGCTCCTAACTATAACCATAAACAAGTGATTTTCTGTGCCTCAGTTTCTTCATCCGTTAAAGAAATCACAACTGCAATCTACCCTAAAAAGTTTTTGCCCATTAGATTAGTGTGTCTGTGCTTGTGGGTGTGTGTATGCATATGAGCAGAATAAGAGTATCTGGCATACTACATTCACTCAAAAATGCCAATAAAAAACACAAGACTCGCAGACACTATACAAGAGTACTAGGCACCATTTTACTTTTTTCTGAAACCAACCTACTTGAGATACCAATAAACACACTTGCAAATACTCAGGCCAAAAAAAAAGTGCAAGAAAAAAAACAAAACTTGACTAAAAGCTAGTCTTTAGGTAAATACATCTTGGCAAAAAGCCATTCTTAATAATCAACTGAAAAATAATGTCCCACCATACTGAAAGAATACAACAATATTCCAACGAATCAGATGTCTCAGTTTATAGAGATTAATCTTCTCCACTCTAACTCAAAATTTTCATTTTAATGATACCAACAACAAAGAAATCATAAGATAATAACCTATATTTTAAAAACACAGCCTGCAGTCGGTACACTAAAACTCTTACTTCGTCCTACTACAGTAACATTACACAAACTCATCCTTCACTCTTAAAAGTATTACCCTTTGAAATAACATATTTAAGAAGATGATGGGGAATTCCTTGGCCATCCAGTGGTTACAACTCTGAGGTTTTACTGCCGAATACCCAGGTTCAATCCCTGGTTAGGGAACTAAGATCCCACGAGCCACGAGTTACAGCCAAAAAAGAAAAAAGAAAGAAAGAAAAAAAATTGAATATACTACTATACTTAGTTATCAGTATATTTTAAACTAACATATTCCAGAAAGGCTTGCCACAAAGACTGAATTAACAGGTTTGTTCAATTAAACTTGAGTACATCTCCTGCCCATCACCCCACCCACCAAAAAAAAGAAAAGGGGAGTAAAGGACAAAATTTTGTCTAAACCCCTGAATCTTATAGCTCTACAAAAGGGAAAAAAAAAATTTGTTTTGCATAATTGGTGAAGGGGTTGCCCAAATGGCTCAGAGGTAAAGAATCCGCCTCCCAATGCAGGAGACCCAGGTTCAGTCCTTGGGTTGGGAAAATCCCCCAAAGGAGGAAACAGGAACCCACCCCAGGATTCTTGCCTGGGACATCCCATGGAACAGAGGAGCCCAGAGAGCTACAGTCCATGGAGTCACAGAAGAGTAGGAAACACTTAGCAAATAAAACAACAACGATAATTGGCTAAAAGGGCTACTTCATCAAGCAAAAAGGAAACTATATCTGTAATTTTAGAATTGTTTTAAAAAGCACCACTCTAAAACCTTCTTTTATCTTGATTCAGCATGATTTCATAATGCATAAAATACCAGAATTTAACATTCCAGAAGATCTAAAGCAAATTTAAATATTTATACACTTAAATTTCCAGTTTTCAGAACTGAAACTTTATTTCCCATGAATATTCTAATTATCTTTCAATTTAACCAAGCTAAGACTAATCTGGCAGATAAAATTATACTAGTGTTAAAGGAAGTACTTAAATGTAATAATTAAAAACTGTCTCTAAATGGATCACAGCTCATACAGCCTTAGGCAAGTTGCTTCCCTGAGCCTTAGTACTTTAACCCATAAATTAAGGATACTATTATTACCTACTTAATAAGGTAGGTTGTTCAGATTTTTAGAAGACAAAAGACACAAAAAGTGCTTATTCCAGGCGCCTGGCACACAAATTCCTCTAAGTTTTATTAATCTTCTATTTTTTTTAAATAGAACTTTTCAAAACAGATGGATATCTATAATGAGTTCCCAATTATCAAAAAAGATCATGCATTTAACCAAATTAATGTCAGTGTTGTCAATTCAGTACTTCCTAGTTCAGTTTTTCACAAAACACAAATATAATTTTATTATCCAAAATAAAGAAGAAAGATATTTCAGAAAACCACATTTAATTCAGGCCACAAAATAAACATCTTTGATGAAAAACCTCAAAATCAGACCTAATATAGTTTTAAAGAATGACTTTTAAACAAATCTTCCTGCCAAACCTACCACTGAAATCCCTTCCAAGGACTTTCCTCGGGTTGTCACAACACAGACTACGTACCACAGCTTAACTTTGCATGGTTAACGTTACATATTTTTCCAAGAACTTCCTTACCACAATGTTTAAAAAATAAAAATTAAAAATATAGAAACAGTCCTCTATGCATAAGAGATTAAGTAACAATCAAGAGAAAACAAAACAATAACAATATATGAATCAGGAGTAAAAGAAACATTTACTAGGCAGCTGTTGCATGCAAAACACCTTGATTTAGAAATTATCTAAACCTTTACTCAACAGAGAGAAAAGGAACATCAGAAATTAAGCGACTCGCTCAGGGCTTTATGATTACTAACTTTGAGTACTCAAGTATTTCAAAACACTAAAAACAAAACAAACAAAAAAACACTAAAAACACTTACTGCATACTGTGCTGTCCCGGGTCGCCCCTGCAACACCCCTGGCCCTGAGGGGCCGGGCCTGAGGGTCGTCCCGGAAAGGTGTTTACAGGCGGGCGATCGCCCCTGCTCGGTGCAGCCTGCCGGTGAGGGCTCCTTCTGTCCCGCCGCGGCCCCGAATTTCCTTCAGTCCCGCCGTCTGGAGCGCCGAGCCGGCCCCTCTTCCATCTGGAGAGCTGTTTTCATGGCTTCCTCGGCCGACCAACTCTCTATCTCGCCTCGCGTCCCAATACCTCCTCCTCTTGGCACTTCTCTCCGCCATTCGCCCAGCGGCTCACATCACACTCCCACCTCAGACGTGAGGCTCCGAGAGGCGCAGGGCCGGCGAAAGCAGAGTGTGGCGCGCAGCGGCCCCCGAGGCTGCGCTAGGGGACCATGGGGGCCCGAGACTACAAGCCTGACGCGGCTCCCCGGCACCCCTGTGGCCTTCCACCCCCGCCTTGGGCGCCGCCTCGCTCCACTCCCGACGCTCAGCCCCTCTTTCTGTCCTACTCGCACCCGAGCCCCGCGGCCCTCGGGCCTTGGCCGCTTGTCGACCCGGCCGGCCCGCTCGCCCAGCGCCTCTGCCAGCTCCTCGCCCGCCCGCTGTCTCTAGCTCTGGCGCCCCAGCTCCCCGGCCCCCTCGCTCGCCCAGTTCTTTCTCGGCCGTTTGCCCTGTCAAAACACTGCCCGGGTCACGTGTCCCAACAACAGCCAGCCAACCGCTCGTCACTTCCTCCCCGGCGGCCTCTGCGGCTGGCGCCCGGTTGTTATGACAATGCACGGCACGCCCAGGGGCGCTAGCCTGGGGGCCTGGGTTTCCTTGCAAGTGTGGCGGGTTGCGAGGGGCTGGCGGAGCCCCGAAGGCCTGCGAGGCGCCAGGCGCATTGGCGGCGCTCGCCTCCTAAAAAGTAAAATAAATAAATAAAATAAAATAAAAACACTTACTGAAAAATATATACTCCAAAAAATATGTAAAAATTGTTCCATTCTTTCAATACCTCAGCTGCTCAAAATTTTTATTGAAATAATCATTATTAAAGGAAAAAAAATCTGATTACTTCAGTTTTATTTTTTAATTTCCAGTCTAACTTAAAATACATTCTTTTGCCAAAATATTATAGAACAAAATAATTTCTTTTAATACAATAACTTAATTGGAAAAAACATGAACAAAATCCCAGGGGTCAGAGTGAGAATGCTATTTGTGAGAGTATAGGAAAGAAATCAGCCTCACCTGAATCGTATTAGCAAAGAGAAAAATACAAAATGTGATCAAGATGAAAGATGAATTTAACTTTTACTCCATCAACAAGAACTAATAAACCTGTTTTAAGGCAGGTTTTGCAAAACTTAAGGTATAAGGGGACTAAAATTCTTACTTGAGTCTTCAACAAATTGATATTAATGCCTAGAGGAAAAATGGACATCACTTAAGACCATGGACTGTAAAAAGAACTTGCCTGTAACTCTTTTATTTTCTAATTTTAAAAATAATGAGTTTCAGTGTACAACTTCCCAGTATTAAAATATCTAAAAAAAAACTATCAAGACCAAAACAAGCCTCAAATTCTAATAATATTGGTTAAATTTTCCTTTTTCTTTTTCATGCATATCACCTACATTTTGGCCAATCAATATGCTTGCAACTTCCCCCATGAGGTTGAGTAGGTGAAAAAAAGGGGGGGGGGGCAGGAAAAGAAAAAAGTAACCCACTTCTATAGTTTGGATTAAAAAATTTGATAGGAAAGGAAACTGAAAGTACTGGAAATGCTTTAAAATTAACATAATTTTATAAATCATCTCTTACAGAGTCAATAAGATTGACTAAGGACGAGTTCTCGGAAAATCATCAACTTAAGAAATATTTCGACTTATTATATATTTCAAAATCCTTTATCAAAAATGTTAAGAAATCAAAGTTTCTAATTACCATTCAACACTCAAAAAGATGTCTATGTTACTGTATTCAAACATTTCTCAGCTTCTCATATACAGGAACATTTCAGTTTATATTCAACAAAGAGTAAGGGTTGTATGTGGTCACACAGTTACTATTCTAAAGAAGTTGCTCTTTAAAGGACTGCTGGGAAGCATACTTCTGAAAAACAAATACTTATTTTGTATTAGCAGTAAGTAGATGTCAAACTATAATACCAGGCAGTAAAAAGGAATAATTAAGAAGTGTTCCTAAAGATGGTTTTGAGCTGGATTTATTAGGAAAAAGTGAACACTTAGGAACCGCCCACTATGTTTCAAGTTCCAGAAATGCCCAACATTGTTTCACGTCTTACTCTTGTGCCAGGCAATATACTGGCACTTTGCGAATTAACCCATTTAATTCTCAACTTTATAATGCTAATTAAAGAGTGTTCCACACGTGGAAAACAGGAATATCTAAGATTGCAAGAATTAGAGTCAATAAGACTAACACGGCTTACAAAACCAAAAAAATGTAACTTGAAGTGTAGGAGAAGCTGAGAGCAAATAAGCACCCTGTAGACGGTTTTGCTAGTACAGAGTCTATGTGCAGCCGAGCATTCCAGAAAGTCAATTATCCCTCAAAATCAAAATCAAATCACTGCAATTATCAGAAAAAGAAAATCAGAAATATTAAGAAGTTAATTTTACTTATTTCAGTGGTTCTTCAGACTAACTTCAGGGGCTTTTGCTTATTCAGTAGATTTTGGTCATGATCCAGATGTACTTTTAAAAACCTTTTAAAATAATTATGTTACGTATTTCTGACTAAGAACCAAGGGGCTCCTTAATTATAAATAAAGGAACTCTTAACTCAGAAAGCTTAAACAACTTGTCCAAAGTTAAACAAAAAAAAAAGTATGAAAGTATTATCTAGAATCTAGCCCTCTCAACACACAGAATGTTACAAGTATGGGGGAAAAAAAAAACAGAAGTTTAGAGTGGTATGACAACAAGAAGGATTAATACAGGATTTTAAAATTTTATATATTTTATATCTTTATATATTCACTGAACAAAAGTTTGGAATCTTGAATGATTGGCTATTCCCTGTCATTGACTAGCTGAAGTTTCTATTCATACTTCAAAACCAAGCACAAAAATCACTATCTCTTCTTCCCATCTCCCCCAGACAGGAATCTTTAACTCTGTTCTCAAGACCCCCACAACATCACTTAATCACTGCATCTTAGTTAATCACCTACACATCTGTCTCACCCACTACAATATGAATTTCTTGGCACTGGAGATTGTATCTTCATTTGTTTTCCCAGTGTCCAGGAAGCATTCAACAGATGAATGAATGAAAAGCAAACTCCCAATATTTGCTACTAACTTAAAGAATAGCTCATAATATCACTTCCAAAGTTTTATTAAAGACACAGTTTTATTACTGTCAAGTATCTAAAATAATCAAGTATGCAGTAAGAAGATATTTTCCAGTACTTCAAACAAGATATTCTTCAAAAACTTTAACCCACTAAATATTTCAAAATTATTAAAAATGCTAATGATTCAAATAAAAGTTACTGTATTCAATTCTCAAGATGTCTATGCCATTTTCTGCCATTCAACTCTCCTTACAAACTTGCAATTTAAGAGCTTATTAAGTTTAACTTATTGAAGTAAAACATTTCAGTACAATAGTATTTAAAGAAATGATTTAGAAGATTCTCTGTCATATTAAGTGAGCAAAATTAATAATTACAATACTGCAAATTCCTAATAGGATCAAAATAAAGAAGATTTTACTACATTTACGAAAAATGACAACATTAAAACCAGTCAACAAGAAAACACATCTTGGCAACAGAAAAGAATAGTACTAATTTTGGAAAGTTCAAGACAGAAAGAAACACACTTATTGGCTGTACTTCCTTAATGGCATTTCTTTTATCCCATGCAGGGTTTTTCAATGGAAAAAATAAGTTGCCATTTGACTTTAAAAATAAAAATGTAAAATGTATATTTGAAATCTCAAGAGACAAAATATCTTCAATGAAGAAATGACTGTATATATCCTTAAAATTAAGGAAGGTAAATGCTATTTCATTGTTTGAGTTTACACCTTCCTTCCTGTTTTATATGTACTCTTCCCTCAATTTAAGCAAAATTTTCTGTTAGTTTTCAGTTTTCATAGTATTATTCATATGATTAGTCCTTTCAGTTTGTGCTTTCAATATGTCATGGACTAACTTTAGAAAGAATCACAAAGAAAAAAATGCATATAATATAAAAAGTAAATATAAAATATTTGTAAGTTCCCCAAAAATGTCAAGAAACTGAATTCTAAATTTCCTACTTCTAGCTATTTCTCATTTCAATATACTACAATGCTAACTAGAAGTCTTTATAATCACTGGTGTACTGTTAATTATGACCTCAATGCCTTCTCATAACAAACCCATACAAAGTTCATATAAAACTAGTTTACAGTAAGTAAAATTATTTCTATAATTGCCTATTTCTTTTAGGTTAAGATTATTGTGTGTTCAAAATTATATCTTCCAGAAAAATTTCACTAATGATTATAATCTAATGACAAAAATTAAGAGCCCAGGCTTAGTGGTTATGAAAGAAAGGAGTCAATCCAAACTTTTATTTGTCAGAGTAAGACTTGGACAAGTTAACCAAATTCAATCGCTTTATCTAGAGAATAAATCACAGACCTAGAGAATAAATCACAGATCTGCGGACAACTAAAAGAAAAAAATTTGTTAATTTAGGATATAGTAGGGATTCAATAAATAGCTAGCATTAATTTTACTTTTATTACATGTTCTTTTTGCTAAACAAAGACATAACCTGGCATGCTGCAGTTCATGGAGTTGCAGTCAGACATGACTTAGCGAATGAACAACAACAAAGAGATAAAACTATTTTTAACATCTAAAACGTACACTGAACAGGATCTGAAATTATTATTGGAATTTACTTAACACTAACACTGCAAGTAAACTATCAAACAAGAAGACAAATTAAAATTTTTAATCACCCTTGCCAGTAAAGACAAGAATTTTCAATATTGGTACTTTCTCGTCTGAGCCTCCTCATTTTCAACATATTGGATGTAGCTAACTAAGTAGGTCCATCCCTTTAATTTTCTTAAAATATAAATATACAAGCAACAGATTAACAATCCTAATTTCATTTATATGTAAACTGTACCATGCTGCTTCTTCAACTTTATTTTTGGAAATAATCTATTTTAGTTATAATATAATAAAATGTGAGCATGTGTACAAAAAATTGTATAAGTATACACAGCTTATTTTTTAAAAGTGGGAGATGAACAGGCAGAGAATTGCTGAAGTCACATTTTGAGTTTCTGACAACAAGTATTCCTTCTGCAATCATTTAAAAAATGTATTAAGTTATTTAACAATTCCACAAAGGAAACCAAAGGTGGACAATTTACCACTGCCGCTTAAAAATAATAAAAATAACCCTCTTTCCTAAGTATTTTTTAGTGATCTTTACCTCCTCAGCCTACCATCCAGTGTAACAAGAAACAGAATTATCAAATCCTCATTTTTACAAGCAGCTTCCTTGAAAAGTTACAAACAGATGTAGTAGGATTTGTTTACATAAATATATACTTATTATATATATATGCATATATATAACTTAAATACAGATTGATGAAGAGACAATGCTTTCTAAACATGTTTAAGGATTTTGATTATGAAACTCTCCCTGGGGAGAAAAATCTTATAGGTACTAACAGTACTTCTACAACTTGCCAGAATCCAATCTTTGGAACATGCTTTCTGCTCCTGATTAACCCACAGAGAAAACAAGGCCCTTAAGTGAAGAGAAATGCAACAATGAAAGGGAAGACTAAAGCTGATTCCTTTACCCTGATTGCATACTTCACATACTTTTTTTTTCACCTCCATTACATAAGCAGATATCAGGTAAAGACTTTCAATTTTACACTGCTATTAACTTCTTTACTCATAAAATAAAGTTATCCAAAATCAGGGGCAAAAGCCTGTAATAAAAATACTCCATTAAAAAGAAGATTGCAATAGATGGATAGGTATTTTCACCTTTCTGTCCTTTAGAATTAAAGCAGTAATTTAACAAGATGAAAAATTTTACAAGTATTAACTGAGACCTTTTTGGTACAGAATTATCAAGTTCATGTTGGTGATGGCATAGGAAAAAATAGAAAAAGTAAAAAGGAATAAACATACACACACACACACAAAATTAAGCTCAGCTAAAAAATGTTTCCTTTTTGGAATTTTGGTATATGTGTTTGCTAAACAGCAGCAAAATTTCAGAAAAAAACAAATGTTGCTCCTAAAAGTTATTGCGAGTCTTAAACAAATACCATCTTACATTCACAGAAGTTTTAAACTATTTTCACATTGTTATAATCTTTTATCTTCACAATCCTATGAAGTAGACAGATCATGTTATTACCATCCCTATATTAAGAAAAACTAAACAGAGCTCAGTCAAACTGTTTAAAATGGGCCTTAACTTCTACTTTGTAAAGATAACACAATCAGAGTTGGAACAGACTTGAGTGTTCCTTTCACAGTTAATCTTCCCCCATTTCACAGATGAAAAACAATGAAGCTCAGGGAAGTCAAGACACCCACCCAATATTACAAAACTCTCTGACATACTGAAGCCTGGGAGGCAGGTCTCCTAACTTCCGGCTGGATACTCTCCTTTCACCACACTGCCCTGCCATGTCACAATGAGTGATATAAAAGCATGCTGAAAATGTTAAAAGTCACTATAGAAGTGGGTAGTAGTAGCAGCTCCAGAAAAGGGAAGATATTTTCAATTTTTTAAAAATTAAAGACATTATGAAATAAATAAATTTAAATGTAAAACTACCTACCACCTTCACCTTTTCCCCCTAAAATCCTCCTTCACATTTTCTTAAATCCCTGATTTGATCACAAATTCTTAAAATTTTCATAATCTGTACATATTTGTTCGTTGTTTAATCACTCAGTGCTGTCCGACTCTTTTGCGACCCCATGGACAAGGCTCCTTTGTTGGTGAGATTTCCCAGCCAAGAATACTGGAGTGGGTTGCCATTTCCTTCTCCAGCCTGCACATATTAAGATATCAAAAATTACTCAACTGATAACATTTTACTTCAAATAGCAAAATATTTTTCAGGAGCCATGTTATATTCCTCTAAGTATTAAAGCCTATTATTCTTGGTTATAGTAACTTAAAGTTATTTTATTGATACTTAGGTCACTGAAGTATTTTTCACTGTATATGCTCACTAAAATATTGCCATTGCAGACTTTTAGTTGAAACAGTAATCGGATCTGATAGACAATCTAATGCAAACGTGAATTAATGAAAATGTGGTAACTGACTGGCAGACATGTATCATGTGATAGAAGGGTTTTTTTTTTTTGAGGACTGTAAGAGATTGAGATTGAAAAGATTACATGGGCTTATACTGTCATAAAAACGTAGACAGCACGAATCTTATAAACACATGGTAAACAGATCTTAATCACTTTTTTAGGCAAGAGTTTTGAAATGTTTCAATCCCAGCCATCCAGGAAGATATGCCAGGCTTTATACACAACTCTATACAGGCTGAAAGACTCAAAATCCATCTGATGTATCTGTATATAAAATAACACGAGGGCAGATCAAAAGCTATTAATATTAAAACTAGAGCAAGATTACACACACACACACACGCTCATATATATGTTGCATATACATACATACATACATACATGATATGCATAATGTATTCATCCTTTTCAACAAGTCCTAACTGAAAGCTTCATGGACCAGGGAAGACCCCAAGTACTAGTAATTCAAAAATGATAACAGTCCCCACTGAGCGGGAACTCACAGTCACTCAGACAAGGCAGAAGTATTTCTCAAGAAACTATAAATGTGTTAAGTGCTGAAATATAACATTTCAATAATTCAAAATATTAGACACTTGGATATAATGATCAACTCACTTTAAATTGTACTCGTTCAGTAATGCAAGAGCCTAAAGTTTCTCAAAACAGGAAGTGAAAAAACATGCTTTTGAGAAAAGGCAGTGAACTGAAGCATTTGAACGCTTAGAATTTAGTCTCATCTTAGATCATTTATGAAGATGAAATTTGTAAAATCTGACTATTTTCATGCCATAAAAATGTGTAACGAATGCTTTAAAAAGAGGAATTTTGCCTAAATACCCGAGTCACTTTTGATGTTACTCTCACTTCCTCTCTTGGAAACCATCATAACCATTTCCTTTAACCACAAGACCACATGTCTAGCAACTTCTAGCAATGTTTGTCTTGCTTGTTTTTTTTTTGCACAAAGCTCATATAGGAACGAATTTCCAAGTTAAGGAGCATAATCTCACAAAAAAGTTCAGGTCAATGAACCTGTAAGTAATACTATCTAAAAGTATTACAAACTTATAACCAAGTCTCTTCTCGGTAAATGCAGAGGGCTTCATTGGAATGACCCTGAGCTCCTGTCACACAAAATTGAAGTGTGAAGAGGCATTTTACTCTCCAGAGTGCACTAGGTTTAAAGTCAACCAATCCTTCTATTCAGGGAAGCCAATGGAACACAGCCATCGCTACACAAAATTTATCATTATTAAACCAGGACAGTCTTCTCCTCTAGAATTTCAGGGTCTACATGAAATTGCTGAAACAGGTCAGTTTTATATTGAATTCCATCATGCGTTTTTTAAGTATTCTTTTCTTCAGGAGACCTAATTTACAAGGGCTACAACTCTACTGCTACGATTAAACTAAAAGGAAATATTCAGAATGCATTAAAAAGCCAACAAAAAAATTATGAAGATATAACATCAAATACACACTGGAAACTGTCAGGATCCAGCTTGCATCAAAAAATCTTAAGTTTTCTCTATCAAATTACTAAAAACTTGCTAAATTTGCCTTAAAAGGAATAGAATTGTGGTCTTTCTTTTCTAAAATAAATTAATGTAATATTTGCTCTATTCTTCCATCTATTTTTCTTAATTGCAACTCAGCCTTTCATTCCTTAATATTGCGAAAGCCATGTACTTTCAATGGGTCTATTAGCTAGAGCTACTCAAATTATCAGACTACACCATGAAATCAGCATAAGAGCAACACAATCACAGTTTTTATTTTGTATAGACACCGAACCTAAAGAAATTTAAGCAACAATGTTTCAGTATTAGCGACATGGTTGGAAAAACTAAGATGAGGAGGAGTAAAGAAAGACAAGAAGGTTGTTATTCCTGTCCCAGTGACTCACAACCCAGAAGTATTTCAGGAGAAAACTGGTTCCACCCTCACTCCCACCTCCTTTCCACCTTCAAAATGAAATAATTCCAAATCGTCAACACACTCTTCAATGGCTTTTACTTGGCGATCCAGAATAAAAAGGCCAAGTGGAGGAGATGTAGGGTTCATCCAGATGAACCATTCTCTTCTCACGCTCCCACTTACATACCAAAAGAACTGAGGGGGAAAAAAGAAACAAAAACAAAAACAAAACTGCTTCCATCTCCGCCAGATTTCTACCATTCCATCTGAGTTATGGAACACCCAAGTTTTCCTAGCCCCCATCTAGTATCTCATCCATCCTCCTCCCTTTCGCGCAGACCCAGTCCCCGGGGGTCAGGGCGCCGAGGAGGGGGCGGCGGCGGCGCCCCTCACCCCGCGCCGGGCCGGCCAGTTCCCATTGCTGGGAGCGGGCAAATGGCTCCTCTCCGCCCCTGGCTGGGCCGCGACCCGGCGGGAGAGACGCCAGGGCTCCGCATTAGGCTCCGGCGCATCCCGGCGATCTTGGGCGGGCCTGCCGCCGCGAGGCCACGCTTTCCGCCCCGGGCGCCGCCCGCTGCCCCCAGGGCCCAGGCCTCCCCGGCCCTTCCTCCCGCCTCTGCCTGCCCGCCGCGCCCGCCGGCCCGTGCGCACCTGCTTGATGTTGTAGAGGCGTGTGACCATGCCGACGACCCGGTCGTTGAGGATGGTGAGCTTCTCCGCCAGCTTCTGCTGGCTAGGCTGCAGCACGGAGAGCGACATGGTGGTGGAGGCAGTGGTGGGGCCGGCGTTGCCGGCCTCGCGCCCAGTCACCGGCCCGCGGCCTCCGCAGCTTCCTCGGTCGGGCCTCCTCCCTTCCTGCACGTGACCTCCGTCTCAGGGGAGCGCGCCCATGGCCCTCGCGCCCCAATCCCGTGCGGGTGAACAGAGCGAGCCGCAGCGGACGCCTCGTCGTCCCTTTCCCCGCAGCAGCCCGCGCCCCGACAGGCTCCTGCCTTCGGTCCGCCGCCCTTCCGTCCCCACCCTGGGCGCTCTCCGCCCCAGCCCCCACCGCCGAGCCGCCTTCCCGGCTCCTCCACTAGGTGTGGCGGAGGCGGCAGCGTCTCTGGCGGCTGAGAACGAGGCCGCTTCCCCGCAGCCCCGGACGAGCGCTCGGTCACCTGATCTGCCGCGCAGGCGCCCTCGCCAGGCCGGACGGGGAACTGCGCCTGGGGGGCGGGGCCAAAGCCCGCCTCGCCAGGCCTCGCTGCAGCCGCCGCTTGGGATGCGGCTCCGGCTCCACACCAGACCCGACCCGGCCTGGCCCGCCCACTGTCCGGGGAGCCTCAGCCCGACCTGCTGAGGTTACGCTTTTCTGTCCGCCACACAGCCCCCCCCCTTTCAAGTTTCCAAAAGTTGCCTTTCCACCGCCGCCCAGCAGAAGCCGCGGGCAGGGGGCGAGGCAGGGCGGGCTTTTTTCTGGCGAGTTTCGCCCGAGAGTGGGCTGGCGGCTCCATGCGCTTTTCCCTCCCACTGCTTGACAGACGCTCCGGCTGAACACAGCAGATGTGCTCTGCGAGGCGGCCTTCGCCTCTGCCTTCCTACCCTTTCCAGCCTATCTCCCCGGCTTCAAAGCAGTTCAGGAGAGGGTTGGAAGCGAGGGCGACTCGAGTTCCTCAGATAATCAGAATCTGACATTTGTCAACGGGATTACCCTTCCGGAGAAGAGGTCAACAGAAGAGGCCCTGGCCTGTGGGAGGCAGAAATAAATGTTTCTTCAAGTGAATGAAGGAACTTTCCTTTTTTTTTTTTTTTTCTTTATCTGGCCTCCACCCCAAATCCCACGCATTCTTGGCAACATTCTGCTTTTCCATCTATTTTTTTTTTCCTGGTCAAATTCCTCCAAGTCAAACCCGAAGGTTGCCCCCTCTGATCAAATATGTTAGACATGATTCCAAAAGTGAGCAAACTCAAGGATTTATGTCATTGACTTGGGTGAGGAGCTCCAGCAAAGAGGAGTCAAGCTGTTCTGGTGGATTTTTTTCGCTTTAATTTCGTTTGATGTATTAATTTTTAAGTAAGTGACAAAATATCCTGCCACCGTCAGTAAACAACATTATAAAAGTAAGTGTCATTGGATTGATCAAAACACTTTATGGAAAGGAAATTGTGAGGAATATATTCCGAAATATTTTAAGCTAGTATATGTAGAGTTCCTTCAGAAATTTTCATTTTAATATTACAAGATAAAGGCAATAGATTGAACTTGATTTAAGGAGCTTTGAAAAGAGTCCTATATTCACCAAAAAATCCCACCTGCCATTATGCTTGGAATCCTGTACACAAAATTAACTTGAATGAGTTTTTTTTTTAAATAGAAACACCTCAGAGAGATCACCTATTGAGCTAGTATTAGTTATTAGCATATTGCAGGATTTAATGTATCTGGTTGCAGTCCAGCCTGATAGTTTAAGTATTAATTTAGAGAAGGTAAGAGTCTGGAACCTGAGATAGTGAGGGCAGGCCTGAGAAGGAGGGGCTGTAGGGAGCAGGGTGGGGAGTAAAGATGTGCTTTTTTCAGGGACCAAAGGCAAATATAACCAGACAGAGTCCTACAAAGAAAGATTATATCATTTTCTAGTTTTTCAAAAGTGCTGTATAGAGAGAACAATAAAGTGGTGCCGCATTAAAATTTGAACACAGCTGTCATTTAGAAAAGCCACTCTGATGATTCCATATGAACTTGAACACTTGAAGCTGCTTATAACTCAGAAGTACCGGATAGAGGGAGAGCTCTGTAGATTCTAGTCTCATTATTGAATTTTTATTATAACTAACTTTTAGACATACTGGTCCTAGATTGAATAGAATATTTATATCAGGTATAAGTGAAGTATTCATAATTCTTGCATTTCTCTACATTTTGCATCAAGAATTTTGTTCCTGAGCCAACCCTTTTGAAGTTTGCCCATATGTGTAGTGTGAAGTGGGCTTCCCCAGTGGCTCAGCAGTGAAGAATCCGCCTGCAATGCAAGAAACTTGGGTTTGATGCCTGGGTGAGGAATATCCTCCCTGGAGGAGGACCCCACAACCCACTCCAGTATTCTTGCCTGGAGAAACCCATGGACAGAGGAGCCTGGCAGGCTACAGTCCATAGGATCGCAAAGAGTCAGACACCACAGAAGTGACTGAGGTCACGCATAATATAAAGTTTATTGTAAGTACTAAGGTAATAATCATGTATTTTCCTATGCATATATGATTTCATGGCAAGTATAATTAGTGTATGTCCTTTTCTATTTCGTTTCAGTATTTCAGTCTTTGAAAAGTATGTCATACCGTGTGAATCAGCCTATAAAGTTATTTATAAAATTTATAAAGTTATTTATATTATTTATAAAGTTATAAAGAATTGCCCATCTTGTAGAGTTTTTCTTCCTACTGTTTTCTGGACAAGCAAAAAATTTTAAAAATGATTAGGAAACTTAGAAAAGATTAAGTAAGTTTTAAAAAGCTTGGTTGGAGAATTTATTTCTCTCATCGAATGAAGCATAGTCTTCACACTTCCTCTGGTAAGCTCTTCAAATTGTTTCACTTCAGGTAAGAGATTTCTGCTGTTTGTCCCTAGAACATAAGGCTTCAGAGAGATTTAGAAAGGAGATGATAGCTTTTTATTTGCAGTAATCATAGAAATTTAGCTAGCATAGACCAATAAGCCTTAAAAGTGTGAATTTTTCTGTATATAAAGTATATCTCAATAAATCTGACTAGAAGTTACAGAACTGTGTTTTGAAACATTATTTTTTCTGAGAGAAGTATAAAAGTACCCACTGTAAGGAAAGTAAACATTTGAAAACCCAAACTGGAAAATATATAAATTGGAAAAGGAATAAATTTGGCTTTATAGAAGAATTCATAATAGAATTATATTTTGTGACCCACAGATATATTTTACAATGATTCAGTTATAAAATCCTACTTATAAAATGTCAGAAACAAATCACGGGTATGACATATAACTTTTTATGTATGTGTTATGAAATATTCAATCATTCATAGTGACAATTCTGGATGGAATTAAATATAAATGTTTGTACAATAAATACTTAAAATGTGCAGGATACTGTTATTCTAAGAGGAGATATGAAGCTGTATAAGGTGTAGATTTTAATCTCCCTAGCTCACATTCTGGGCTTCCCTGGTAGCTCAGCTGGTAAAGAATCCGCCTGCAATGTGGGAGACCTTGGCTTGGTCCCTGGAGAAGGGGATGGCTACCCACTCCAGTATTCTGGCCTGGAGAGTTCCGTGGACTACAGTCCATGGGGCCGCAAAGAGTCAGACACGACTGAGTAACTTTTACTTTCACTTGAGCTTCCCTAGTGGTTCAGCTGGTAAAGAGTCTGCCTGCAGTGCAGCAGACCCAGTTCGGTCCCCCAGTCAGGAAGATCTCCTGGAGAAGGAAATGGTAACTCACTCCAGTATTCTTGCCTGGAGAATTCCATGGACAAAGGAGTGGGACAGGCTGCAGCCCGTGGAATCACAAGGAGTCAAACACAACTGTGCAACTAACTTTCACTTTTTATTCAGCTCACATACTGGGTGAGCATAGAACTGTACATACACAAGGAAGTCTAATATAAGCAGCCTGTGATACAGGGCTATGAGAGAAGTCTAGAGAGAAGAGTCCCAAATTGAAGTTCCTAAGCATGTGTGTATGTGCTGCTCACATGACTTAGTTGCTCAGTAATGTCCAGCTCTTTGCGATGGACTGTAGCCCACCAGGCTCCTCTATCCATGGAATTCTCTAGGCAGGAATAGAGATTGATAGTGTAGAGATAGTGTAGAGATCCATCCCAGGTTTCCTGCACTGCAGGCGGATTCTTCACTGTCTGACCCACCAGTGAAGCCCAAAGTTCCTAAGGATTATTCTAAAACTTAGGTTTGTTCAACTTTAATAAGTGCAAAATAATTTTTTTAAAGTGCAGGAAAATAATAGGAATGCTCATCACATACATAAAAGAACAAAGAAAGTTGAAGGTAGAACAGAAAATATGTATGCCTATGATTGCTAAAGCAGGAGAAAAAAAAGGGAAAAATAAAGGTAGCTTTTGAGGACTTGAGGATAATAAATACAATTTGAAATAGTTGTTGACTTTATTAGTTAGCCTTCAATGTCTCCTTCTTCCTTAGAATAAAGTCTACATCTCTCAGTCTCCCTTGCAGGCTAGTTCTTGCCACTAGGACATAAGCTTTCAAGAACCTTAAGAGACTGCTGTGTTCTCTTTTTGACAGTCGTCCCCTCTTATTTCATTCTCCCACATGAAACAAGGACCCAGACACCACTATCTCAATCCGTGAAGACCATGGCCACTCACTGAGGATGGCCAAACATAGAAATGGAAGATGCAAGTGGGCTTCTTAGAGCAGAACTATCATACCAAACATTCCCGTTCTATATCTGGATTTTGTGTGAAACAAAGTTTTATTTAAGCTTCTTTGAGCTGTGATTTTTTAAAAAATTATTCTCAACCAAACCTGATCCTAAATAATATTTTTTGTGGTCAACATTATAGTATCATTACTAAGAATAAATTAAGGAATCCAATTTATTATTTATGTGTCTTTCACACTATGTGTCAGGTGCTTTGAGTTACATTTTCTCATCTGCCTCTCTCAATTTAATGTGCTTAGTTGCTCAGTCGCGTCTGACTCTTTGCGATGCTCTGGACTACACAGTCCATGGAATTCTTCAGCCCAGGATACTGGAGTGGGTAGCCTTTTCC